TGGACTGGGTTTGCTAGGCCTTCTCTCCTATTTTCACCTAAGCCTGATTAGTTTTAACCTTAATTTTCTCCTGTTAGTCTCCATTCCTTCTATCTGTACAGTTGCTATACTTTATTAGATTCTTACGCGGTACAGATTGATGTTAGTTGACGCTTTTTATTTGCAGTAAATAAGAAGTTATATACATTTACGTGGTGGAACATGTGGTAATAGATATCTGGACTATTCACAACAATTCCATGGTCTTAAATCATCACATTCACTATGTACAATGAATATGGCGCCTCTGCCAGCGCTGCAGAGTTTGGTGGAGAATCGCCAGTGGGTCTCCAGCGACACCACGCATTTTGCGATCTACGATGAATACCTAGATCGCGTACTTCGCCGCTTAGGAGATGGTGATGGAGCGGTCCTCGAGACCAACTGGAAAGATCCAGGACTGCAGTATCACACGTTCTTTCTTCCTTGGAAAATTCTCCATTGACCCAAACCTTTAACCTTCTTCCCCTTAAGAAGTCTGCAATCCAGGTTAAGGTTTCTCCTCTTACTCCGATGTTGTGCAGCTTTTCACGTAATTTCTCCCTCCACACTCGATCAAAAGCTGAGGTCATATCAAGGAATATAGCCGTAGTCTTCTTTGGCGTTTTTTCCTGGAAAGAATCTATTATTGATTGACAGAAGTAGAACAGTTTATCAGTCGTACAGTGCTGGGATCTATAGGCAGTTTGGTAGAAGTTTATTTTATTATTGTTAGTGAGCCAGACTATGAGCCTAGAGTGGATAATTCGTTCTGTTATTTCACAAAGTATGCTGGTGAGAGCAATTGGCCGATAGTTCTTGGATTCCTTGGCATCTTTGTTTGGTTTCAGTATTGGCACAGTAATTGATATCTTCCAATTCTTTGGTAGTTCACCAGTTTACCATGAGATGTTCAGTATTCCTAGGAGTTGTTTATTAGCTTTGTCTTCAAAGTGTTTAATCATTTGACCAAAGATTAGATTATCTCTTGGTGACCTCTTAGATTTTTTTATTGATGACTTTATCTCATTCAGTGTAAAGTCTCTCGAGAAAATATCTTGTTGATGGAAGTTTCTTGCTTGTTTAACTAACTGGTTCATATTATTTTTAGAGTCCTGTCTTCAATCGTATAGTTGAGTATGGAAGTGCTTGAAAGATATTCAGCAATTATGTTAGTCATCTGTTTGTTCTCGTTCTCGCTGTTCTATTCATATCGGTTAGAGTATTGGAGGATTGGTGTTGGTTTTGATTCTTTTCTAACACTCTAATCATATTCCAGTGTTGGCTGTCCTTTCTTGGATCCATTTTCTCGCAGAACTCTGCCATTCTTCTCTTGTTTGCATATCCAAATTTCTTGTTATATTTTGTGACTAATTTCAATGTGTTACTTTCTCTTTTCTTCTGTTTTATTCTTTTAAAGAAGTTCATTGATATTGTCTCTCTCTGCAATCATTGCCTCGATGTTGTGGTCCTCCCAGTAAGGTATCCACAGGTCCAACGTCTCCTTTTAGGTATCGATGCTTTTGCAGCTTTTGATATATTCGAAGAGAAGTTTTCCAAGTTTTTGTCAAGCGTTCTGTAATTCAATTTTTCGTTGCACAGTTCTTCAAGCTTTTCTGTGAATTTTTTTCAAGTCGGCTTTCCTAAAGTTCCATGTTCTTTTATTCTGTTGGACATTCTCAATTTTGAAGTTTAGGGTTGTTAAAATTGGTCTGTGGTCACTGATTGCACTTCTCAGGATTTTCCATTGTGTTGTGGGTGCGATGTTGAAATGTATCGCTGTGATGTCTATTGCGGATTCTGTGCCTGTCGACTTGGATAGATAGGTGTTCTCTCCCTTATTTAATGGTGTAAGGTCGAGGTCGGTTAGCATGTCCTCAACCTGTTGACCTTTGTTATCCTGGACAGGTGATCCCCAAGTTGAACTTTTGGCGTTAAAATCGCCGAGTATGATTGTGATATCCGAAGAGGCTTCACTTAATGTCTCTATTGTGTGTACCCATACAAAATTCAAAGATTTCACGAGCTGAAAGTTGGCGATTTTGAGATGCGTCAAGAATTCGCTGCATGGGTTTTCCGGAAAATTGATATTGATGAAAACTGGCTGTCGAATGTTCTGTGGACAGATGATGCTCACTTTTCTCTAAACGGAGAATCTAACATTCAAAACAGCCGCTTTTGGTCAACAGAAAACCCTAGGATTTTTACAGAAATGCCACTTTATGAGCCTAGAGTTACAGTTTTGTGTGGGTTCACTTCTTCTTTTATTATTGGGCCATTTTTCTTTGAAAAATCAATGGAAGAACTTTTAAAACCGTTTTTGTAACTGGTGAACGTTATGTTCATATGGGGTATTCCCATATTGCAGGGAAAAAGCACTAAGCGAAATAACATTCATGAAAGTTGGAGGATCTCCTCATATCTCCCGCGGTGCCAAACAATTGCTGAAGAATACGTTCGTTGAATATCGTGTGATAAGTCGCCACTTTATATACCAGTGGCCTCCAAGATCACCATACTTGACGCCTTGCGATTTTTGTTTATGGGGGTACATTAAATCGTGTGTTTATCGATGCTGGCCTACCACATTGGCCATGTTAAAGGCTTCTATCTGATGGCACGTTTTATCAATTTCAACAGATATGTTATTTAATGCTGTCCATTCTGTCATTTATCGTCTGCAGGCGGTGATTGAGAATGAAGGGTGCCACATTGAGCAAGGATTGTGACCTAATACAAGAGAGAAGGCAGTTACCTCATGTGTTATATAAGCTGCCATGTATTATATTATCTACCAATATTTTGCAGCTCTTTGTGTTGGGATATGGGGATAAAAATGCTGTCCTCACATCTTGACTCTTTTTTTTTTTTGTGAACAGTAATATTTTGTTTGTCATTTGCTCACATATTATTTCGTGCAAACCAGAGTGTTATAACTTCTCGAATAACACTGGTGCACACAATTTTCCCCCTTATGTTTAGTTTTTCGCTTTTCGCTCATTAGAAGAAATAGCATAAGGAATATTTTCTGTACACCAATAACTTTAGAAATTTTGTGCGAAAAATAATACAAAATGATTTTACTACCACGTTTTTCAACGCAAAAGGTCGATTTAAAAAATATTTTTATTTGAGGGGACACATTTTTTAAAATTGGGTACAGTATGAGAGAGAGTTGAATTAAAAATATTAGAAATTTATTATCTTCGGAAACACAAACCGTATCTAAAATATCATTTTTTTGCTACATGTTTTAATTTGCATTTACCTATTTTACATATCTCTGATTGTATTTAAAAATTGTTAACCAATTCTTCATACTTTTGGCGAAGTGGTGTTTTATTAATTTGTTATTTGATGTTATTAGGGTTCTTTCCTGGTATTCAAAATGGAAAAATACGTGTCGATCAGTTATATTTTTCAATTTATCAAACAATTTGGCCGCTGAATCTCTGATTTTGGTAGTGCGCCATCTGGCGAATAAAATTGTAACTAAAATCAATTTCGAATTTTTCATTATTTGTCATAAAAAATCCCATTGCATCCTGAACACAATGGTGTTTACCGCATTGCTCTAGCGCAAATATTCGCGGAGTTATTAATTTTTAAAATAGTGCGGGACTTTTGGATCACCCTGTATATAGTGGCCTTCGCCACACTATTGCCTGGGTATGGAGGCCGTAGATCAAGGCCTGTAAGTCCAGCGGTAGCCCACAGGTAGCAAACATCTCCCAGACTTTTCCAAAATCATTTTATTAGGTACCGCTCAAAAAGAGAGCAAACTAGTTTATGATAATTGCAACAATGAATAATATGTGAAGGTTATTCACATATTAAATAAAATGTTAACGCGGGATTCAATCCCAGTTCATGGCTGTCGGGAATCGAAGGTGTTACCCACTCGTCCACCGACTCTCCCGAGGCATAATGAAGAGAAAGAGAGAGGAATTAAGTCAAGAGATAAAGTGGAGACTGGTGAACAGTCTGATTTGAAATGTGGTGATGTTTGGGGCCGTCAATGTGAAAAATTATTCGAGACATTTGAAAGAGACGAGAAAGAAAACGATGGGTTGACAGGAATGAAGAAGTCTTGAGAAGATTGTGAGAGAAAAAGGCCCACTGAAGAGGCCATAAGAAATATGACAAAATATATATACATATATATGAAATAGATTGACCAAGAAAAAGTTCTAAAGGGTGAAAAGGAAATATATAGAATAGTAGTAAGAACAAGAGGAACTGATGGACTGGATTGGAAGCTATATAAAGAAAAGGGCTCAAGATAGAGTAGTCACTGGAGACCAGGATCTGAGCAGAGAGAGAGAGAGAGAAAAAAAACGAAAAAGAAGAATACAATTTTACTATCTTAATATATACTTCCAATTTTAAGTAGTTTATCTAGACCGATTGAAAAGCATTCATTAAAAAAGCTGTTGTTGTTTTTAAATATATTGTTATGAATATTCTTGTTGTTGTTAGATAAAGGGTTGATAAGACAAAGGATCGATGAGATAAAGGGTTGAGGCGCAGTCGTGATAAGAAAAAAATAATTATTTACCGTCAAGTAGCATTTATTTCAATTACTTGAGGAAATATTACACATTAGTTAGTTTCACATTATATAGAATTTATAAAGTTAATCCTATATTAGTGATTTAAAAGGATAGATATGTTAACTATGCATATTTACAACAAAACTATAAAACAAAGCTGAAAGTCTTTCTAAAAACGATGATAACAAAAGTAAAAATATCAATGAATAAAATAAAATATATATTTTTTAAAATATAGAAATATTTGAGTATTTAGATTATATAATATATATATATATGTAGAACGACATTTGAAAATTATCCCGCATGTGTTTCTTTTGACGAAAAATCGAAATTTATTTTAAGGAGAAATAACGATTATTTCTAACCCCAGGGATTAAGTATGAAAGGAAGAACCGTGAAGAGTAATGATGAACGGAAAAATAAAAGTGTCCAGTGATGGGAATCGAACCCACAGTGATGGGAATCAAACCCGCTTATGAGCAGATGCCATGTCCACTAGGCTACCCTGGACATATTTTTCCGTTCGTAAATATTATATAATATTAGTTATTTAATTAAATATGTGCTGGAAGTATCAAATAGGTATTGTGATCTTGATTCAGATAATTAAGGTTTATGCAAATTTCCATGTCATCATGCAGGAATGTTTAAATAAACTTCAAAATACTTTTTAAAGTACGAGAGACGATCTTTCATAATTATTTTAAATTTAATAAACTTCTTAAAAATATATTTACTCATGAATATATATTATAAAGGATATCTGTTTTAAGAAGTGTTGGGCTATTAGTTGAAGCTGGACTAGATGATGTAATAGTATAAGGAAGTAGTCAATTAACCCACTACATCTGACGATTGAAGTGGATATATATGAAGCACATGGAGGCGACGTGAACGACAGGAAAGTTATCTTTATTATGTTATCTAAAAGGGGGAGGGGGGATGGACTGCCCGCTGGGCAGCTCGGTGATTGGCTGGCCGTGACGTAGTGGTGACGTAGGTCCTCTCAGGCGGAAGTGGGCATATTCAACATGCCTTCAAGAAGTATATATATTTTCTATATAACAAATAATAGTTCAGAAATGTACATAGGTTAATATATGCAGATATGTGAATATGTAAATTTTATTATACTCGTGTATATCTATCTATATGTTATATGTTTTTATAAATATTCAACATATCTATTATATATATATATGTAACCTAAATATTTTAAATAATTATATTCGGTGAGTATTCGAATATTTTCTATTCAAACTAGTAAAAAAAAGGATTTTATTATCCAAATAGAAAGATATGATCAGATAGAATTTGTGAAAGAAATGGAATTATGGAAAAACAAAGAAGCCGAGATAAATATTCGCGAGAGGGAGAAAAAAACCAAGACATACAATCCAGATTGCTTTACCCTATTGATATATTTTGAAGATTTATACGCGAGGGGGAAAACCTTGGAAAAATGCCAATCCCTGCCTCTCACCAGCATCGCACCAAACGAGAGAAGAAAAAAGCACGGGAAAATAAAGGGAAGCAGACGAAAAATTAAACACCATCTTAATTTAGTCTTTTGGCCATTATTTTCTCTTGGAAAACCTCTTGTCTTTTTTAGGGGCTTATAACGTTCTTTTTTATATTTTCATTAATGTCAGATTAAATATATATTCTCCTCTGTTATTTTGGTATATTTATTAGTAGAGACGATTTTTTTTAATTCGCGTTTTTCATTATTTTATCTCTAATTATATTTAGAAAATATATTCCATTAGAAATATAATTCCTTATATAGAGACGGTTTTTTTATAGAATAGAATTGATTATAGTCTTTTTTTTTTAATAGCAATTTTAGTTTTTAACATCAAGCTTTTATTCGGGTTATATTAATATATTACTTATTTGCTTAATTGCATAACCCATTTTCTATATTAGTGAAATAAAATGAAATAAAAACTATATTTATTTTAAATTAATATTTTGATGCATGCTTTAGCATATTTATAGATTTCCTTTTTTCAAAACAACAGTATATATAGACGACTTTTAGAAAAATACATTAAAACAATGGAACTATATATATAATGCATTTTTATAAAAGTAGTCTACATATATATATGGCTTGATTTGTTATGCAAATATTGATGATTATAAATAGTTGTTTACTTTGGCTTGATAAAGGAAACATTTCATATATTTTACCAAAGTATAAATTAAAAATAAATCATATAATAATAATAATAACATATATTTTTTTCCAATAAGTTTTTCATATGCGGTAATCGTTGTATTATATAATGATATAAAGCGTCATTTTCATTATAAATATGTAATTTATGCATATAAACACCATCATTCTAATTTACATACTTTCACACACAAAATGCACTTGCATTAAAAAATATTTATATATCCAATTTTTTAATACTTAAAAATACACTGAAAACAAACTTGACCGTTTGAAAAAAATAATAAAAATAAAATATAAATCCATTTTGTTTTTCTAAACTGTGAAAACACTGTCTCTCTCCGAGATTGTATTTTATCTTATTATTTCCAACTGAGAAATAAGTTGACAAAGAAGTAAAAAGCTGTCAGAAGGTTTGCTCCAACTTTGTCCAACTAATTGCTGGAGTGAGTGAACGCACGGTGCAATCAAAATTAGCTCAAGTTGTTAATTTTACAGTAGTTTTAGAGCAAGTTTTCTAGGCTAAAGGGGGGAGTGGAGGTTAATAAAGTTTCGCCAGTACTGGAGATTCCTGCACCAAACTGCTTGGAGCTTAGTTTGAGAGGGAAATTTGAGGAGGATATTGCTGCATTATGTTGAATATTCTCGTTGTTTTTGTAATTTATAATTATTATTTACTATATAAAATATACCGTGCACACATACATACACAAATATATATTCTTGTTTTTTTATTAGGAAATTAAAGGTTCCAAGCTTTCGAACCGCTATCTTTTCAACAGGCCAATTGTTCAATGTACCACTCACGAGATGGCACGTCATATATATATTGTTGCGTAGAAATTTGGAAAGACAATTATAAGAATAACACAGCAACTTATTTGATGCAAAGCAAATTATGATTTAGAAAATACTAGAGAAGTAAAGAGGGGTTGATGCAAAAAAAGCAAAATTATATTTTCTAAAATACCCGAGAGGCAAAGAGGGAAGTTTATAGAGTAGCAAAATATAATAGTTGAAATTGTTTGTATGTACACACATAAAATGATAAATATTTTGCTACGTAGCGTCTTCCATATGGAATGTGTGAGCCCAAGTTTGCAAATCTTGTTGCTACTGACATGGAGTTGACGTGCCTTTGTCAAGTATTTTCTCAGAGTCTTGGAACTTTGTCTCTAGTAGCTTTACGTCCTTTTCTAGCGGCGTGTAGAGCGGCTTTGTTGTCGTGGTGTCTATAGGGACATTGTCGTCTTGGAGGGAAGTCTTGGCTTTGACACGGCGGTGGAATTCTGGAGTCAGTTGTTTTATGTAGATCACAGCATTCATGGCCTTAAAGTCTGCTCGGCGATCTTCAGTTTGGCTTTCCTAATCTACCCAGCATATCCATCAAAATGTAACGTAGAAAATTAGGAAAGATAAATATCAGAATGACATGGCAATTTATTTGAAGAAAAGCTAAATTATATTTTATAAAATAACAGAGAAGTAAAGACGGAATTTCATAGAGAGAATAACAAAATATAATTATTATAATTATATATATTAAAAATAAAAAATGCATATCCTGACCAGGCTCACATGAGCCTTTTAGAAGGAAGAGCGCCATCTAGTGGAACAAAAATAAACTAAACGTTTATTTAACTTGTTCCGTGATATTTGGCCAACCCAATTTCTTGATAAATCAAGAAAAGTCAACCACGAACGCGTTTCGGGCTGTTGGCCCTCGTCAGCGTGGTGCAGATTGTACCTCTACGACCTAAATTTGGTCCTAGAGGCTTCCAGTGAAATCAAGAAATGGGTATATGTATATATGTACATAAAATAAAAAATATTTTGCTATTTAACAAAATTAACAATTCCAGGGCCAGGTTTCTTTAACTATTTTTATTTCTCTAGCTTTCTGGTCAACACATGCCCTTCAACATGAGAATTAGAAGTATAACTTCCAGGTTTTGGCCTGTATAGTTAGCTGTAAGTGATACTTCTAGTTCTCCTGTTGAGAAGCACATGTTGGCCTGAAATCTAGAGATATAAAAAAATAGATAAAGAAACCTGGTACAGGATTACTTGTTGATTTTGGTAAATTGTAAAGGCAAGGATAAACTTGTGTTATAAAGGTTTTGCTAGAATATTAATGACGAGGCTTATTTTGGATCAAAATAAAATAAAACATTTTACTATTTTCAAAATTTCAATAATTCGCAAGACTGCATGCCTATATTCATCGGTTTCTCTTCTATATATTCTCTACTTTCTTCACAAAATAAACTCTGTGACTAATATTTTATATATGTTTTTTACACGTGGTACAGGCCATGATAATCATGGTGGGTAGTTAGCAACTGCTTTTACTGTAAGTGCACCACATATCTACACATGTGAAAAGCAGTTTCGACATTGCACTTAGAAATGTGCCAAAGCCCCGTTTGGTAACTTGCACTCGCTGGTGGGGTTGGACTTTTGCGAGAATAGGGGGTCATTGGAGTATTTTATTTTAATTATAAAAAAGTGCCCAATGCGGGATTCGATCCCGGGTCGTAGCGGTCGAAAAACCCACGGTTTAGACCCCCCTTCCACTGACCCCTATTTTAAATATGTAATTAATAGGTACATTTCTTAGATTTAAAAATAAATCTAATATAATACAATGCCTTTCCAAATGCTTTATTTTATTTACTTCTCCTGACGAAGACAAAAAGATTATTGTCAAAACGTTGAGAAAAAAATTTTAAAAATCCAACTGGCCGAAGTGTCTATTTTACATATAAATATGAATGCCGGCCAGGCAGCCTCTATCTTTACAATAATACAATAAGAGTTATGTAGATTTACACTGTAAAAATATAGAGGAAGGAAGGATGTTAATCTTTTTATTTACACTGTTGCTGTTTTCTATTGATGCTCGGCTTTCCAAAAATAGTCTTGAGAGCTTACATTGAATGTTGTGGTATTCAATTATACATTTCAAAATTGCATATGATC